ATGTGATAAATTGCCGAGTTGATTCAAGTATAACGGATACCTGTAGGACTTAGAGAAAATCCTAAGGTCAAAAACTCCAACGTGTAGAATCAGCTGTCGCAGCCTTTCAGCTTAGACGTTAAGATAAACGAAAATGAACCCGGTGATAATGTGTTTCTAGGATCAGTGTTACTCAACAAAGAGTTACTGATTAAGGAGTTAACATTCCTAAAATTTATGTTTCTGATCCGATCAATATTAACCCTAATTCTATTGCAAATATTGAAAAATTCTTTTACATATAGAGATAATAACAGGTATTAGAGATGGTACTCGTAAGTGGATGGCAGTAGTCTGTGATGGTGTTCATACCATCATGCTATAAAATTGAAAGAAAAGTTTCCTTAGCTAGTACTTTTACTGGGACAACTGCATGAAGAAATGAATATGCTTCGAGCATTTGTGAAGTTAAACTGGTAGGTAGTTACAATTCAGAAAATTTATTGTTTTGCAATGCACAAAAAATTTTGTTCAACGCTCTTATACCGCTTTAATGCATTTATTCACTTCATAACTTAACTTTATATATTAGGAAAATTGATATAAAATGATTTGCAGTGTGCCAAGGTTATCGAACGGATAATCAGCTTTCCTACTTTAAAAAATGTGCAGACCATCGCAAGTCTTGGAATTCTATCTGTAATATATATCATCAGGCTATTTCTATGGAACTTATATGGCGTATGTAAAAAGCCATTCAGACTTATCGGTCGAAGGATATCTTGCTTGGGTCAAAGAATAGCAAGATTTACTTTATCAGATAAAATATGAACAGGTCATTACTAATTTTTATTCTTTTTATAGATATTAATATTAATTTTTATTATTTTTATTTGAATAGACATTCGTTTATCTTCAAGCAATAATCAATTATCAAAAGGCTATAAGAAATAATGATCCTCTATTAAAGAGTACTGCTAGAAGAGTGTTTTCTCCTATTTGGTCTGCAAAACGGCACCCTATCTACTGTTTAATAGAAGTTGTTGATGAAGTTCAATTGATGCAGCTTTATCCGAAAGTACGTGATGTTATAGAGAAAACTGTGTTGTTTCTAGGTCAGGTATTTATAAACAGCATCAAGAATTAGATGCAATTATTGAGAAGATAAACAAAACTTTAAAAACTTTAATACCTTCTATCCCGCAACTCCATTATTGGAAAATCGCCGCACGTAATTGTATAAAGTTTCTCGAGGTAAACTTTTATTTTAATTAAATTAATTAGTAATATATACATTTAACAAACTTTAATTCATAATAAATTTTAGCTTAGAAATAACTTACTTAAAGTAATTGGATATAACGATTATCAAACCTTCGGACCAAGAACTCAGCCAGAATCAAGTATGAAATGCCAGAGATTTCAAATTTATCTGTGAAGCCTTAAATTCGTGAATTGGAACCTAGAAGAATATAAATTGAATGAAAATTTAAAAAATTTCACATACTTAGCAAAGCAAGGTTGACAAAGTTTTATTACCGAATTATTTATTAACAAAAATAATCCTCCTTTATTTAGGCCAATACCAATTTTAAAACAAGAAGCAAAGGCTCAAGAAAGTGAAGAAAATATAACTAAACCTGAAATTTTGTTAAAGATAGAAACTCTTCTTGAACAGCTTGGAGAAAATGCTTGGAAAAAATATTCCAGATTAAAGTCGAAAAAGAGAAATGAATTGATATATATATTACAAGAGATAAAGCATGTATTCAATTCAGATAATTTGGAGTGAATTGTTTTTTTATTTAGGCATTTCCCATCCAACATCAATTTCTTTGACAAAATTGGCCAAACTATCAAGTAAAATAGATATCAGAAAATATACTATAACCTGTTTTATTTATTTTTTAGTCATGTTTATTGTAAAATAAAAATAAAATAAAAAAAATTATTGCTTTTTTAAAAATTTTAATTTGACTATATAATCAATTAGAGTAAGTCTAGAATATTCTGATCGGCAAATTTGTTACTATAATAGGCAATGATCGTCTAGATATATTTGGTATATTCCCTGACTATATTCTTAAGATACCCATGAAGGCAGCAACATAACTTGCAATATTATAATATATTGCAAGAAATTAGAATGGGACAAATCTTCCTGTGAACATGAAATACCTTACATCAAAAGGCTATAGATTATAAACATCATAGATCTCTTGACATATCCCTTAGTCTCACAAACATCATTAGTTACAAGCAAATTGCAGACTATATTAACTGTACTATTTGCAATCTCCTTTCTATTAACAAAGACAAATTCTTTTTCAGTACTGCAATTGACTACATAAATCAGTAACGTTATAATTTAAGTGACTCACAAAAATTATTTAAATACAGGATAAACCTTCCTGCTCATTTGCGTCTTCAGCAAGTACATGTATTATGTATCTAAAGAATGATTTGATGGAAAAAAAGTGTGCAATAGAACCATTGGAATTGTAACTGATTTTAATCTCTTCTTCTTAGAAATGAAGATAGCATTCAGTATAATTGGAGGTGTCATTGAAATTGTAATTAAGAGGGAATCTGATAATTTATTGTTGATGGCAAACCATCCAGTAGGTATCAGTTTTCTTTATAGAATGCTTTTGCACTTACAGTACACAAGACGCAAGGTTTAACCTTGCTAGAGATTTCGGTATCTTTGGATCAATAAATTTTTGCCACAGGTTAGGCGTACATCATGCTAAGTCATTGTATGGATTGGTCAAAGATGCACATTGCTTCTTTTCACCCTTCTGCGTTTATTACTAACATGTCAATGGTTGAAGAATATAGACGTTTGGAAAAAAAAGCCTCTACTCCCTTACCACTCTGAAAAAAAGAAGATCCTTTAGAATTTTAAATCAAATCTTCAAATTCTACAAAAAACATTTATCTAATTATTTCTAATTTTTATTTAATTTATGAATAATTTAATTTGTAAATAAAAAAATGATTTATACTAAATTTCGCATTAACATATTTATAATGTTAAGCAAACATTTATTTCATTTTATTTATCTATTATAAAAAAAATTAATTTCATTTTGTAGTCAAATATTTTACATCTCTATTTATTTATTACATAGTAAATATATTTCTTCTAGCTATTGTAATACCCAAAAAAAACATGATTTCATAAACATACTTCAATCAGCCTATCGATATCTTAGTTTGATCTTTATTAGATGAATCAAATATAAATAAAGGAATAGCAATGATTTTTGAAGGGATGAAGTCCCTTGAAATTATGCCTCACTAGTTATTACTTTTAAATAATTAATCTGTAATATATCACGTTATGTATCATATGATTTAGTATATCAGTATAATCATTAAAATTATTATTACACAAAATCCTACCAGGGATTTAATTTTTGTAACGTTTAACGAAAATGTTCAATTTAATTTTCTCTCTCATTATTTTGATTATTCCTTTATATGTAAAGAATGAGTTAGAAACAAATTGACAGATTTTTACAACTACTTGATATCGCTCTAAATAGAATTATGGGGAATCAATGATTGTCAGGTAAATAATCAAACAATTTTAGCAAGTAATTTTAATAAAGTAAAAGAATAAGATGGTTAAATAAATTATTTAGATTTTCAAGTGGAACATTAAATCTTGGTTACATGCAAAAGGAGTACTGGCTTCAAGTCTTGCTATTGACACTAATAATAGTATTTGGTGTACCACTAAAGATCATAAAATTTACAGACTAGTGGGTGGAATTGATAATAAATAGTATGTATCAATTTAGAGATTATTTTCTCTTATGAAAAAAAATTGACATTAAAATCAATTTGATAGGATGAGAGTTGACAGATTTTAAAACAAATTGCTGTCAGTGATGAAAATAATATATGGGAAATTAATTCAAAAGATGAAGTTTTTTATAGGAGAGGTAACGTTTGGATTCAAGGTATTTATCATGAGGAATAATTATTAAAATAACTCTATAAAGATATTCTAACGATAAATATACATATGTTATCTTTAAAAAGCTTCCGGTAATCTTTCTCAAGTTTCTGTTGTAGCGGATGGAATTTGCTGGGGTAAATGCTAATCATGAAATTTTTCGATGGAATGGTAAAGGCTGGTAAATTTTTATTTTATTTTATTTTTTCTTTCAAAAAAAAAAAATGATATAATTCTTTATTTCATCTAATTTTCAATTGACGGGAATCTTATTCAAATTAAAGTTGCATCGATTCATTATATTATAGGAATCAATCATAAACATGAAATATTTCTATGGAAAAATGGGGGTTGAAAAATGATCGAAGGTAGACTACTTAAGCATGTTTCAATTAGTTCTGAAGATAATGTCTGGAGAATTAATGAAAAAGATGAAATTTGGTATTTAATGAATAATGTTGATGATGATGAAATTTATTTTAATGTTTGATATTAAAATTTAGATTAGGCTGCATAAAATAATTTCCTTGCTGTATATAAATATATTAATTTAAACGCGTTCAAAATATTAAATGTTTCATACCTTGCTTATAAAAAAAAGATCATTTTGAAAAATCTTTGAGAGATAATTAACCAAACATTTAGTCGTAATTTCAATTACAAAAGATTTAGATTTTGAATTAATTGTTTATTAGATATTTGACCTTGAATGATTATGATGAAAAATTGTGACACAATTTTTGTATCTTTGGTGGCAAGCTTTTCCGTACTTTTGAAGAAACAACATTAATAAAATAAAATAAAATAAAAAATAAGTAATGAAAATGTAATTGTCGCACAAACTTTGTGAGTATAACGTAACGTTAAGCGTACCCATAGAGTTTGGACTTGAGTCAAAGTCGAGTCAAGAAATTTTTGACTCGAAGAGTACTCGAGTTGGAAATTCAAGTTAGAAACTCGAGTCAAACTCGAGTTAAAGTCATAATGCGGGCCGGAAAGTACAATGCAAGCTAAAATTTTGTGATAATTCAGGACCGAACCAAAAGAATTTTTTTTAAAAAAAATTTTTATTCAATAATTATAGTTAATTATATTATGCTAGGTTTAACTCGAGTCAACTCGAATTCTGACTCGAATCAGAATTTAACTCGAGGTGACTCGAGTTAAAATGAATACGAGTCCAGTCTCTACGTACCCACTGCTTTCGAATAATATACTTTTCGATGAAAAAAATCATTCAAATGATTCATAATAATTTGTAAGTTGGAAAATAAATGAACCATAATAATAAAAAACGATCTTCTTTAACATATAATTTACAAAGTTCAATGACTAACGGAATGTAATCCAATGATACAGTAATTCAAAATTAAATGACGATAATGTGCCATTTAATCGATCATTGAAATGACATGATTCAGAAGGTTACATTCTGTGAACTATTATTCTAATTACCCTTTTATTATTTAGTTATTATCTATTTGACGACGATTAAAGGTTTTTAGTTCTCTATCAACACATCTTTAATCTTCACTTTTTTTTCTGCACCACTTCATCTGGAAGAAAAGTCCAATTTCAGTCAACTTGATGGTCACACTACAATATATAAAAGAAGAATAATAAATGGAATTCTTTATCATGGTCATATTTTTGAACGTCGGAATCCATAAAATTTAAACTACACGTGGGACATAGCATGATCGATTGAAAATGTGAAAGTCTTTACCCCTAATTCAATTATGGTTAAAGACTAAAAATCCTTAAATTACGTCGTAACAACTTTCTTTTTAGTGGAGAATATTCGGTAAAAAATAAAAAAAATAAAAAGTAATTAATAATTTATAATCATTATACTGAAAATCCGATTATTATCTACCAGACAAAGATCAAACAATAGTGACTTATAACAAAGCGACACGTCAAAATAATTTATATATCATAAATTATGTCTTTAATTCCATTTCAATTCTATGCTCGACACTTGTT